TACATAGATACATACATACACGCATGGAGGTAAAGGACAGATGATACAAGTCACACATGCTGGGAATATATTTACACTTGCTAGCATTCGATTTTAGTAAAAGTGCGATTTATTCTAGTACTAGTAATTTGGCATCAATGCAATGTTAAACAGTACTTAGCCATGGATCTAGATTGGCCCTACCGTGTCAATGTTATTGTTTTATATGATAATTTCTTTTATGAATAAATTTGTGAAATCTCTAGCTAAAGACCAAAAATTCACACCGGTACAAGGACAGTTCTTATATTAAATATGATCCATGTGGTTAAAACTTTCGTTTTTTTATATATCTATCACAGGTGACGCGGAAACGAGTGAGATAAACGGAGAATTTGCACCGGTGACCATCAGTAACCAACTAGATAATAGTGGGGTCATTCGAATTACGTCATTTACAATCAATCACGAACTCTACGTCCTGACGAGTGGCGCCACCAGCACTGACGTTGTCCGCGTGTATAAGTTCGACAACACTGGTTTCGTGCAATTAATCACTGGCGATTTCTTTAACGGACACTCAATGGAGTATGTATCACATATAGAACCATTCGTCATTGGCGATCGGCAATTTTTAGCGGTGGCAGTATCAGTCGGTCCAGGCGTTTCAACAATTTTCGAGTGGAGTTCCGTTGATTCGAAATTTGTGGAGCTCGATAATAATCCATTTGGAGTTGGCATGCATTTTAACTTTTTCAGTACTTCGCACGGGAGATTTCTCGTGTTGACGGTCTTCCAGACTGGGGGTTCGACGGTGGTTATTGCTGACAGCGTGGTCGCGAAGTGGAATCCAATTACCGACACGTTCGACCATTTTCAGAACATTCCCACCAATAGAGCGTTCGAGTCGACCTTCTTTACAGACTACCAGACAACTTACCTGTTGTTTGCCCGAACAGCCATGGATGTCGACATGTACCAGTTAACTGCAGACGGAACGGAATTTCAGAGTTACACCCCTACAACCACCATCAGTGAAACGCATGGCTTTTCCACATTCACTTTCCAATGTACACCGATATTGGTCACTTATCGTGACGCGGCATTCGCGCATGTCTGGCAGAACGGTGATTTCACGCCAATGGATTTCTCGCCCTCATATGCCTTTATGAACAAAGCCGACGGTAGTATGTGTACTTTTGTAATCGACCACTATCCAGTGCTTGTTACATCAAATGGCTTGTTCTATTCGGAGGTTTTCCGACCCCGAATAACTGAATTTGATATTGAATCTCTCTATCAAACTGGCGGGAAATTCCAAGCATGTCATATATTCAGTTACCAAGGTGATACATATCTAATATTGATACCTGAAATTGGAAGTGGGCTTGACGCCCTCTATAGATGGGCTCCAACACCATAGGGATACTAAGCGCTTAAAAAGAAGGGATGGTGTATAAACAAAATCTAAGATACTGCTGTGTCCCACTGTCAATGTTTCTCGTCAAAGTGTCGCATGTTTTCTCTTCATCCTTCACCCCACCCCACGCAGCCCTGTCATCCAAATTTTGGTTAGGTGTAATATTCTGATTGTAACAAAGTTTGATTTGTCATGTGTTTTGTCTTATAGGCCATCATTCCAATGTATTTCATGTAGGCATGAACGTTTATTATGTAAATTTATCAATATTATTGACCGACTAACACTATCTCTGGTTGATGTACTCATGTCAGTCGACGTGTCACGTGTCTCACTGAGTCTAGTTTGTTTAATTTAATTACAAGGAGACTTTAACCAACTCTTGTCATTATTTCACAATACAATTTTGTAGCCAATGAAAATTGAGTCTATTTGATCAAAAGTCATAAAAAATACGTAAAATATGCAAATGTTGCATTTTTTGAATAATGGTGACCAGAGTGTTTCGATTTTGGAGAATTGTTTTGAAAATTACAAAAAAAAACGAAAACTGATATTAAAATGTTTGCAACGTTTCTGGCAACATTTTGATTTTTGAATTTAGAATGTGCTTTACAATTAAAAAATAACTCATTTTCTTGTAGGGTTGGCGATTTATTCTACGTTAATGATACATTTCACAAATACTGCAACGCTATTTCAAATAATTGATGTCGGTCGAAAACGGCAACAATTCTGTTCGAACCAGTAGAATCCAAGTTGTAATTATTCCATTCTCTGCCGATATGTATAGCCCCGTCGATTGAAAGCGCAACTCGCAATATTATTGACCGGACTGGGCTAAAAAAAGGCGACAACATAAATAGTCGGAATGCTGTACATTAGACATAAAGCTATATTTTTGCCAAATTAACAAAATTTCTGTCCATAATTTGACGGGACTAGTTTGTTTCAACATTACGTTCTCTTGAGATCATAATCCCTTGCACTGTTAATATGAGAATACATCCTGGGACGATATAAATCGTCATGGTGAATGTTTATGTTCCATGATTACTTAGTTTTCCGTTTTGCGTGAGCATATTTAATTCGAACTTATCTTGTAATAGACGTGGACTTGTAAACCAATATAATATACAAACGATTTATTATAATTAATAACGGATCATATTCCTCAGAATACTAATGAGAATCGTAATATTTCCATAGGAGGCGGGAGTTCGAAGGTTCAATTTTATTAAGTCATTAAATTATTATCAGGATGTCCTAATTATTAAAATACTGTTGTGATTGTGAAATTAGATGGGTTGGTGGCGGGTTAGTGGTGCATTTCGTCAAGCTGGTTCTGTGTATTATATTTATATTTATATGTATACGTAAAATTCCGTTAAAATGTCAATGTTATAAATACATATTATACCATTACTTGTATGTCCGTTAGTGGTACGTATGTATATAATATCTAAAAGATGTCGCCCATATAACAATTATCTTAATTGTTTTTAAATTCACCTGAACAAGAAATGTTTTATATGGCAGTTGTAATTTAGTTATATTTGTTGCTACTTCAGATATTAAATGGATATCCGATTAAATGTTATGTACTGATTAAGCCTGTGTTATGGAAAGAGTGAGTCTTTTTATGTGAGTCATATTCACATCTCGGGTAGTTTATTGATCTCGTTATAGCAATACAATTTCTATGTTTTTTTTTTTTTATATATATATATATACAAAACGTTCCCTGAATTAGTTAAATTGAACTCCGTCCGGTTTGAAGTCAACTTACCGCACACGGTGTGCGGGCACAATGTCAGGTGTCGATGATTTGATTTTTGGTCAAGTTACTAAAGATTGAAAAGGTTAAAAATATATTTGGGTGGTTCGTTAGGGTGACTTCACAAGACAGAGTAAACTCTCATATGGTATGTCTGCAGCCCAATTGACATATGAATACTGTACTAGTATATAGCAGGGTGGTGCTCTATGAAGACTTCACAAGACTGGATATCCGATTAAATGTTATGTACTGATTAAGCCTGTGTTATGGAAAGAGTGAGTCTTTTTATGTGAGTCATATTCACATCTCGGGTAGTTTATTGATCTCGTTATAGCAATACAATTTCTATGTGTTTTTTTTATACAAAACGTTCCCTGAATTAGTTAATTTGAACTCCGTCCGGTTTGAAGTCAACTTACCGCACACGGTGTGTGGTGTGATTTGTTTTGCTGCTGCACTTCGGAATGCGGTCTGACTCATCGTAATGCCAATGTTTGGCATATTGTTTTCGTATTACGTATGTGACGTATGTTTCTACAATACAACAATTATTTAACAAACAATGCAACACAACAATCCTTTTACCGGTAGCTCTGTATATAGACACACATTGAACTGATTATTAAAGGTTGCAAAGAACGCAGGTAAATTTCCCCAAAATTGTGTTTGTTCTGCCGTTTGACGATAATTCCAAAGTCCTTGCTCGAGTTGATGAAAGATTTTGTAATTTAAAAATTTCTCATGTGAGAACATGTTCGATAATAATATCTAACGATATCGACTTTTGCCGCTGATTATATCAATAAAATAATTCGCGATTCAAAGCTCAGTGAGTGGTGGTTTCTAAACGCTTTTAATATTTTTTGACTCGGACGTAAAGCCCAACAATAATTTCATTTTTAATATGTTATATTCATGATCCGTTCCTGTGTCGACGTGAATGTCATTGAAGTGGCCCATCCAGCGTCAAAATTCCCAAACGCCCATGATTATCTGAATTGTCCGGTTATATTACTCGTGTACTGCTTGAAGTTGTATTGTCGGTAACACTTTGGCATGTCCTGTGATGCTGTACAATGACAGTTACGCTATCTGCGTTAGAAGTGCCCTGCCAATAGTTTCATACGTTCGGTTATGATTGAGTTAACGGCATCTTTGAGTGTCGTTGAGACACTGAATTGCACACTGGAATCGTTAATGCACCACAGGGTCTTGTCAACTGACAGCGAATCCCCTAGTGCGAGAAAGAAGGACACTCCTCACCCCAGATGATGTCACAGCTAAATATTATCTGAATTTTAGCCAGTGATACACAGCTATTTCCGCCAATCAGCATCAAATTAATGGTTGTGATGGTCATTTTCGTACAGGGGAGACCCTTCAAACGTGTTTTATTTGCGTCATTCCATATTTGCGTGATTTGATCGTGGCTGTGGTGTAAATGTGTCGACAATATACTATATTTAATTTTTGTGAGTTACACTGTGTACCACATGACGTCATCTGAGGAGTGCCCTCCCTTCTCTCACTTCGTGCTGGCACGGAAGATTCGCCGTCAGTTGAAAAGCCCCAGTGCTATGGATGCTTTGTAATGGATGATCTAAGATGGAGCAGTAATACAAAATCAATATTCTATGTGAAGCGATTTCGTTTAAGATTGATGCGAAATGTACACGGAATCTTGAATTGTTTCCTATATAAATATTGTCAGTTGTTTTAATAAAGGGCACAATGTTAGGTGTCGATGATTTGATTTTTGGTCAAGTTACTAAAGATTGAAAAGGTTAAAAATAAATGTGGGTGGTCAGTTAGGGTGACTTCACAAGACAGAGTAAACTCTCATATGGTATGTCTGAAACCCAATTGACATATGAATACTGTATATAGCAGGGTGGTGCTCTCTGAAGACTTCACAAGACCAGTAAACCCTCATAGCATGGCTGAGCCATGGTATGTTGCCCATAACTCGAAGTTCTGTTAACTGTTAATTGAAAATCGAATTACAATTGGGGCGTGGATTCTAAAATATGGCGTGTTCTTTTTGTATCTCGAAGTCCGTAACTTTTCAGCTTCTCGTGCTGCACAGAACGTCATGGTCTTCTAGAAAAACTTCACAGGACATGATTAGTCCCTATAGATATGGCTGAACTTAAAGCGCGGTGGTCGGTCGTCGCGCAGCTTGTGTTCGAATTTCATGTAAATAAACAATGTATTTTACACGCGTTGTATTCGTCGCTATGAGTCCCATGTCGAACAGAACGCGGCGCGACGACTGCCATTATAAAATACTTAGACAATAGAGGCATATACACAGACGAGATTCATACTGCCCCATGGTCGACGTCATGATAGACACTTTGTATTCTATGGCATCATCTACAGAATAAAGTATTACTGACGTGTTTTGTTGTTTGTTTAAAAAACATATACTGTTAATTACGCAATATAATGCTATATTTTATTTATGCATCGCGCGTCTGTCATTCTGACCAATCACAGTAGCGCATTCGAACTAATTATGTCTCAGTTTAATAGAGAGTGTTCAGATTACTCTATGCGAGGAGAGGCGTATGTGATGCATGAACTGAATTAACCATCCAGAAGATGTACATCCACAAAGATATCAATTCTCTTTCAATTTATGGAATATTCAGCGTTGCAATAAGGTGACTCCAGCAAATAATTGAAAGTAATTAGGTCTGATTTAAATTGGTACCGATACCACTATTGATGCTAATTTACATGAAATCAGTTAGTCAATTGTAGTGTAGCGCTGCCGTATGGTACATACAGTCACGTGATGACAAAGGCAATATTTCAGACTGTGTCCAGTTACTGCGTATTTATCTTGTATTCGATATTTTTTGGCGGGTAAATAAAGATCGTACAATCTTTAATTGTTTAGGTGGCAGTTAGTCCTCCACTATATATGAAGTATACATGTCTTCTTCGCGTGATTCGCTGACGTCTGAAGCGTAATTGGCTGACGTCTGAAGCATGATACTAACGTGTTATACGAAAAACAAAATTGCGAAAACTGCACTTTATTATATAGAACAGTCTCGTCGGATTTAGACAGTCCTGTCTATCCAGTTGTTCTTCATCTTCATCAATACATCAGGTAAATTTCGAATTCACCTGAATTGTAATCTAATCCCGAGGAAAAAATATTTTCTTTCAACAAAATTCTATATTTTGTTCGTGTAAGTGAAGAAGTTGATATATGTCCACAGGTGGGTCCGTATATACATGTTACATGTTTTAAGGCTGAAAAGGGAAAAATACGGCTTTCAGTGTATGTGGTTTGTTAAACCCCGTCACGGTGACTCCCATGCGAGAATTGGTATGCCGATAACAAAAAAGTTCCATTCAATAATATAATATGTTCTTAGAACGCCATGTGCAGTTGCATCTATTTGTTCTCGGGCTCGACTCTCACTTTGTAGCCACGCCCATTAATATGTGATAGTATTCTGATGAAAGTGTGAAGTGTAACAATGGGTCAAGTGTATCTGGCTAACCCCAGTTTATAATTTATTAAGTGAATGAATTTACGAATCGTGCCAGCGCAAACCACCTTACTATTCAAGGTATACCTGTGACAAACAACATGCGAAAAGTTGTCCGTACCACGTGACATTGAGAGGTGTCTTAAAATTATGTCAAATTTCTATAAAATGATTCGTTTTTTTTTTCATTTTCCGAACCGGTAAATAAATTAATGTCACAAAATAATGAATTCGACATATGGTTAAACTAAATATTTTAACACGTTCTGTATTGTATATCATATATATACTTTGTTCAGCTTTAGAACATAATTAACGCTGCGTGATAGTGGTACGCATGTCAGATGATTGTCAAAAGCACGATACTATGGAAATAAGCTAGAAACAACCGACGAAGCATAACCAACAAGTCATTTTACGTGCTTAATGAAGTGACGAGGGAGGAAATTACTCAAATCTTGTGTTCCGTTAATATTCTAAAACTGGCAAATCGTGTTTTTTGCCATCCTGACCCTCGGGTATTGAAAATATCGAAAACTAATTAAACTATATAATATCGGGGTGTATATATTCATATATATATATGACGATCAACGAACACATATGCCGACACGTGGTATACCTGCTGTACATACCATAGTCTCCACGGAACACCAAGTGTGAACAAGTGAGGCGTTGGATATCTAGCAGGAGTTACTTAAGAGACGCACATCGACAATCTAACGCCACGGAAACAAGGTAGGTGGTCGTCATTAGCTTCGTTTTTGCTCAGTGCAGTACAGTAACTGTGAAGTTATAATTAAAAAAATTAAAATTTAATATAATTTTTACAATCCATAAGATTACATGGTAGTTCTAAAGATTACAGCGAGTTTGTGTTCAGTTGTCGGACACTAAAAGCATTGTTCTACACTTACTAGTATTTGAATTTGTAAAAGTAATGTCAGTTGTTGCTGTGGGCTGTTGGTTGGAACTATAATGACCATATGTGTTTTTTTCATCTGTCGAGTTGAACGGGCAATTAACTTTATATCTAAAAACTATGTATATGTTGCAGGATGACCAGTGTATATTTTTGCATATTGCTGTGGGTGTTCGTATCTTCTCTCACATGTGTTCGATCGGTGAGTCAGTTTCATAATATTTGTAATCCCGACCTGTGTGTATTTTAAAACCAAAAACCAAGTCGGTTTGTTGTCACGATGTTTTCCGTATCACCCGATTACCGTAACTATGGCGCTGACACCCTTATTCTTCTAACAATTGTATTTCTTATCGTTTACTAATTGTCGTCTGTCGTCTCCAAAGGCTTTATAAATTAATTAAATTAAATTAAATCATTAAGTAGTGCTCAAAATTTCCACGAATGAATCCGACATTAGGCAGAAACAACTACATTGTATTTTGAAAGTCGTTGAAAATGGTTGCAATAACGGGAGAAAAATTGAACTTTGTAACCTGACAATTTGTACGTCAGCTCTGGTCCATGGTGTCGTAAATTTCAAATGAACCATAATAAAGCACGCGCTGAGCAGTTTATTCCATCTTTATGTGTACCGTTCTAGTCCACACTCTCACGAAACATTAGTTAAACACTTTCTAAGGACAGTATCGTTGCAGGTTTTGTCACAGAACTAGCGCTGTTCAAGAACATTTCTGAAAAAAATAGACATGACATAAATCTGAAGCGTCGAACAGCGAAATCTCTATGGTAAAAAAATTAAAAAAAATATCAATTTACTTTAATACTAGTAATTAAACTTACTTACACTCTAAGATCTGGTTAGAAATGTAATGAAGATGATAGTGCGCCTTCACATTTTCGATTTTTTACATGAACAGTTGACCACTAAACCTTTCGATCTCAGACTCTCTCCGAATACGAGGTCTGACATTTTAGAATATTTTATAAACATTAATCATAGTTAGAAGCCAAGTTACTTTTAATTTAAAAAAAAAAAATCTAATTATATTCTAATTATTTTTAGTTTTCGTTGACATATCGCTTCGCCTGTATAGCTCATGGCGTGTAAAAGTTGAACAATGTGCGATGTTGAACGATGCAAGACTTTTAAAAAATTCAGTCATTAAGTTTGATGACAAAAAATATATGCTCAAATGTGTTTCACTGTCAGACAAAAAAAAAAAATTTGATATTATTCGGAATGCAATATGAATGAAAGATGTAATTTTTAAATTTAATTATTGAATTATGAATTGTGTTTTTATGTAACGTTGTCGTCGGCACGCAGCTAGAATTCATTCGATGAAATAATAACGTTTGGTACGAACATTACCATTACCATTCGTCGCACCATTTCTGGATATGTTTACTTGAATATCACATTGGAGGAAATAATTAGACCAGAGACATTCTAATAATTTGCATAACTGATTTATCGATTTGTTGTCCATACAATATACTATAATCAACTACCACGGTGTAGTACACATAGGTTGATAGTGTAGTGCACATAGGTTGATAGTGTAGTACACATAGGTTGATAGTGTAGTACACATAGGTTGATAGTGTAGTACACATAGGTTGATAGTGTAGTACACATAGGTTGATAGTGTAGTACACATAGGTTGATAGTGTAGTACACATAGGTTGATAATGTAGTACACATAGGTTGATAGTGTAGTACACATAGGTTGATAGTGTAGTACACATAGGTTGATAGTGTAGTACACATAGGTTGATAGTGATCCTTATTAAAAACAATCTAACATATTAATGCACTTACTTGAATGATCTATGTACAATTTACCGGTCATTAAAAGCCAACCATTAAAAGACCTACCATGTGCGACTTTAGGGAAAGCTTAGATAGGGTCCGCAGATTCTTGTGTTCAACTAGACCTGATTGATACCAGTATATAAATGACTGCACAGCACTGTCATAAACGAAAAACACGTGAATGTAGTCTATGTTGCAAAATGTACTCAGTATGGTAAACACTTGCATGTGCTGCAATGTAATGAAAAACAAAGTGTATTGCACAAATTATATTTAGAACAAATTATGAAAAATATTTACAAAAGCTCATCAAACAGTGTGTTCCTCTCACAGTTCTAAGATGTTCAAAGAATGATCAGATATATATGATTTTTCTTTAAAAATGACTAAACAATCATGTTGATAAACACATTGGAATTCAAGATACAAATGTATACAATATGTTTAAATATCATTTTTTGTTATCTTATTTGTTGTTTCTCCGAATTAATCATATGACGTAATGCTCATTGACGTCATTCGTGAACAACGGTATATTTTCAGATAGTCGTGACCTCTCGTCTGGTAGACCCACCCCAGGACTATGATTGTGAGATTGTAGAGTGGATGAGTTTTCCGCCTACTTGCACCGAAGACTGTACTATTTGCGAACAGTTCCATAATCCGCCGGATAATGTCGCTACTTGTGTGAATTATGAAGTATACATATACCCCGGTGAAGGCTGTGATCCCGATGACTTGCCAAGCGTACAATGTGGACTCAATTGCGGTAACTATCATCTACTGAGCACGATACCGAGCGTGTGTTCAATGCATTGTGGGAGAAACATTTCCATAAACAACTTTCTCAGATTGGGGCTCAATAACGTGTAACAATATTAAGATTCACATCAATATCAATGTGTAACACATCCAGCCTATACTTTCATCACAGTCAACTTGCATTTTTTCAAAGACCACTCTGACTCTTGTTTCTCGAAAAGTTGTTCATTGTTTGTTGTTCTAATGTTATAACTTAGAATGACGTCTTTTTCAAATCATTTTGGACCTTGATCTTTAATATAATAAAATGATATTGACTTGCTGTCTGTTCGTTCGGGGACTAGGTGGCGTCATGCATCCGGTAGGTGTCACGGTGGGTGTCTCTCGCGATGAGCGTCCGTTATAAATTTTACTTTTCTACCCTTCTTTTTCTACTTGTCACTTGAATCTCAGACAACAAATTAGGGGCTTCAATAAAGCAAAATTCGTATGAAGTATCTAGATAATGTACTTTGTACTGCTTTTCTATAAATTGTGCCTTCTTTTGAGCTTCCCTGGCGCCAACTATGTGTAGATCGGTGTCAGAAATATAAAAAAAGTGATTATATAGCCGCTGGTCATTTAGAATACTGGTATAGTAATTCTTTATTAACGGGCAATTCCAAATTAAAACAATAAAAAAGCTGGAAATGATATCCCTTAAGCCAATTTACGTCACGAAAACGTTTTGCCACTAGAGGGCGAACCTATTTTAAATAGTTTTCATTGGACAGTTTCATTTCAATCTATGTTAGGAATGAAAGTGTCACAATTATTGGATAGTTTAGATTGTATCATTCTTTAATTCGTGACAAAAAGTTGAGATTAAGCAAGGGCAAAGTTCTTATAGTTTCACTATGGTTTTTTTTATAGTTGAGGTTGACCATTGCGCTGATGAGCCGTGTGGACCGGGGTTTACATGCATCAACCTGTCGAATGACTTCGATTGCGAAGGTGGGTTACATTGTGTTATTCATTATCGTAGTAGTTTCCTATATATGTTTCCACAGTCTTTCCCCGTGCACACTCTCAAAATTCCAGCAAAAGTTGTAGTGACTCTACCCATCAATGAGGGGGGGGGGGCAAGGGTTATTTTCGTTCAACGTAATTGCAATATTTTTTTGTTCGTACTACGTAAATTGAAAAAATAAATTCCGTAATTCTGTAATCACAGGCTAGACGTACAACGTAATCGATCAAATATTTTTTTCGTACACTGTAAAAATGTGCCATTTTTCTCGGTACGTACAAGGATTTACATCCAAATAAAAAAATCGTAAAGAATAATCCAGGGAAATTACATTATAAGAAACTGTAAAACGACTAAGATGACAAAATTCACTATAAAATTGAATGTCAAGACGTAAAAGGCCCTCTAACCGAATGAAGAGCATTATGAGGGTAATATGCGCGTGCATCTCTACACACGGCGCAGCAATGGCGGAGAATTTGAGTCGGAGAGCTCTTCGGACCATTCAATGTTCCTTTTTTAACACTGTAAACTGTAAAAACGTCTTTTTTCCCTTGTAAATTGTAAAACGGCCTTTTTATTTCCCGTAAAACCGTACCAGCTACCCCCTTGCCTCCCCTCACTTAATGTCCGTGAGATGTGGCAACCCCCTGTCATCGTATTTGAAAATTCTAAATCAATAACAATATTTCCTCATTGTCCATATTCTCAATATGTCTTTTATATAGTAAAAGGCGGTTGTCGTCATGCTGTGTCTTGTTCGGTGAGGGTCTCATGCGACGTTGTACAACGCACGTGACGTAACATACATTACATAGTGTTTGGAGAGAAGGACTTCTTTTTAAATTGGCCTAATGCAGGAGTGACA